CGGCGCGAATGAGGACTATGTTGTACTTTCAAACGATTAACGGGTATAGTATAGACGTTTAGACCTGGGGACCTACGAGTCGTGGCATCAAGCACTGCGAAACACCAATAGTAGTAATAGTAAGTCAGACCTCGATCTTGATTCCCCTCTTCGTCCATGTCCTCCTCCCACACTCCTCTCCCCCCTTTCTCTCTGTGCTTTCCCTGCCAGTTCCATCCCATCCATTCTGAATATTCAGTCATTCAATCCTTGTACAAATACCACCTGCATGGTTTGCCCTTGCTCTTGCCCCGGTCCATTCGGAGATTGAATTGGTCGCTTACAGCTTTTCGCTCTTTCGTTCTTTCGTTCTTTCAGTTCCTTTCCTTTGTATTTGAACACCAAGGGCGAAAGAAGAAGATGATGATGAAGAAGGCAAGGGAAAGTGCTTTGATCTTATGTCAGCGATAATATTAGTATTCTTCACCTATTGGTGGTTACATAGTAATATTATGGGCATCATGATATCTGAAAAGGGTAATTTCCCAGACTAAGGCAATCGGTCCACTCGTCACCGCTCTCGGTACGAGTTGGTACAGACATAGGTATATATGTCACCAAAAGTTCACCCACTCCCAGGGCTTGAAGCCGCTACCTCTTACGGAGTAGGGGGAACGGAGAATTCTTTCCTTCGGGGACTCGGCCTTGGGATCGTTCAAGGAAAGCCAACGAAGACACCCGAGGGGATTTTTCCGACAATGGGAAGACCATGGGATGCGGCCGACTGGTATTCGATCCTCCTGAACGTTTCTTGAACAGCGGAGAGGATACCGAGGATGTGGGCTACTACGCAGTCCATGCGCAGACCAATACAAAAGGATCTGCAGATAGATTTGGACTCGGGAAAAGACCGATTGATCCTCATCCTGATCCTCATCGCTCATCCTGGGCGCCATCGCCCGTGTGAAATCGTTTCAAAAGCATACCAAGGAGACTGACGGAGCACCTGCGATGAGCTCTGAGAGATTATCACTCCACAAATTTTCAGGGGGCAAGTGTATCGGTACCAATTGGTGACAGAGTCGCCTGCTCACCTGATGTAAAAGTAGCTTGTAGTCCGACCATGGGCCTGCAGTCCGATCATGGGTTGCAATCCGATTGTGGGCTTGCAATCCGATTGTGGACTGACTCCAAGTCCGTTTGGCAGCCCTTCTTGGAAGACAGAGACGGCGCAGACATGAAGCAGGAACTGTTGGTACTCCTTGCCCCCTGCTCATTCCCGCGCAGGCGATGGTTTTTCCCACGGAAAAGTGCCAGGGCTCTTTGGCATTGAGCATAAGCCAACTTCGTCATAGCTAGTTGGGATCTTTGGTAGAACTCGGGAACGATATAGCGGTGCTATGGACTTCCGCCTCACAAAGTCTGCCAACCTGGATGACTGGCCATGCTTGCTCGCTTGCCATCTCCAACAGAATGCTCCACTCGGCTGTTGGGGGAACAGGGACTCATACGGGCCTGGGTTATGGCGCAGTTTGGGGCTGCTGAAGAGCCAGGATCAAAGGTCGAACATGTTCGATACCATAATTACATGCCTATCTCTGCCTGGGGGCACCCAGATTTCCACTTTTCCCCCTGTAAGCCCATTATGACCTGCAGTCCGGCGACATGCCTTGAACTGTCAGGCATGGCTGTGGACTTTTGACAACTGTGGGGTCGGGTGCTCATTTACATAGATGTAGCCCTAGTTATTGTCGATCACTACCTGTGACAGATGGAGAGGCAGTGAAGTGGATTTTGAGCGCCAATTCTTATTGATTGCGGTTTTGGGTAATCGTCGAACTTGCGCATCGCCTCCCTGGTACTGGCACGTTTGCCTTCTTTGGTATCACATTCTATTCTATTGGAGTTAGTTAGGGATATCCTTTCACGCTCCTGTGGTCCCAGCACCTTGGCATCATGCTCTCGGTGTTTGATGCGGTCGTTATAGGACCCGAATCCTGGTGCCGGTGGTGTTGGGATCGATTTCTTCCATAAACCAGAAGAAGTGATCACAGTGATAGATCTCGCATTATGTCAGTCGAGAAGACATACCAGATATGGAAGTTTAGCGGAACCTGCCATTGAATGGGATGGCCAGCATGGGATAAATTGGTGGCGGCAGCTTATAGTATTGACAGCCCTCGTTTTGCCAGGGGAATGAATAACGCCGCCATTGGCATATTACCCATGCTCGGAACAGCGGAGATCGTCGTTGCCCCCCTTCCTAATTTGTAGCCGGTGCATGAGGAAGTTGTTCTGCGCGGCACTGTCCCTGTGGTTGACGATATTGCGTCAGATTGTCACGTATATGCCTAACCATTGGGAAATGCCGGGCTCTACTGTTTGCTTGACCGAGTCGGTAAGCCCCGATAAGCGACTTAGGTAGTCCGTATATCTGAATCTCTTCGATTGACAAAAGTCCCAACAGGGAAGGATTTGACCCATTGGTCATCTTCCAGGGTCGTGGCTGCCTTGTCAATAATGGGCCAGAATTGTCCACTCCCAGCCCGATGGCTAGCTCGATCGAACCGTTGCGTCAGCTCCCGTGCCGCGTGCAGCGGCCACGCTGGCCGTAGAGCATCATCGTGGCGGGAGAATTCGAAATAACGTGGTTCAATGGTACAGGGGGAGATGGTGGCTACTCTTCTGGGGAGGCGAGGACTGCAGATGAAGGCGGATTATCATCCGACACGTGTCGGTTATACGGAAGGAGAGGCGATGGGTGGCGATCATATCGCAGATTTGACCTTGGTAGGTTGTACGCCTTGTGGAGGAATAGAGTGAGAGGATCGGTTCCGTTCTCCTGGGGGATCTGCGTCGCTTGGCCACTTCTCGTCGGGCACAAGTCAGGCACATGCTAGGTACAGGCTAAACATTTGAAAGGCCTAGAGACAGGAGGCAGCGAGGTAAGACCACAATGGGAAGGGACCGGCCGGGGAAAGATCGCTCTCTGCTCAGCAGGGTGGCAGCGAAGGGGCATCCGATGCTGGCTCAACATTCATTTGCAAAGAGTAGTAGGGGCCCTGGCCGAGTTCGGCACGGTGGACGGGAGAAATGAGGTTGCGGCAGGGCCGATCCGTGGGTGTCGAAGGCAATTGAGGGCAATGAGAGCATAAGAGCGTGAGATCGTGAGGGCGTGAGAGCGGCAACCCGGCGGCAAGACGGCAAATGGGTTGATGGTGGCTGCGGTGGCTGGATTGGGAGAGAACAGAGGAAGCTTCTTCTGCGCAGCTTCAGACCAAAAAGGCTAAGGCGAGAAGGGACACAATAGCCTCCGCTGTGATTGGACCGTGAACACACGCCATGGTCATGTCCCAATCAGGTTGGTGACTACTACCAAGTAGGTTACTGTACCTGTGTCTTGGCGTATTATTTGGGTAACTGTCAGGTTGCCTCTCTGGCGCTGACCGTGTACTCGGTCGAGTGGTATGGTACTTGTATGTAATGACAGCTGTTGATTTCCCCAGTCACGGGTACCGAGTACCGCGCATCTGCCACCCAACTCCGACCCTGCGCCCTGGATGAAACAGCTCCCTGCCACCGCGGCCACTGCCAGTCCTACCGGTTGTGGAAGATTTACTGCCGACACCTCTTTTAATACTCAGACTATCTCATGCTGATATACTAGGGACTCAGGGACCCTCCCTCCCTGGCGTGGCGCTTTGAAAACCTGGATGTACGGAGTCAGGTTGCATGACTAAACAATTACCCGCGCTTGCCCGCAGGCCAACAGGCATTCCCCATACTGTGTGCTAATGATATCTCCTAGGCTTCTTTCCGCCGCTCGGCCGTATTCGCAAAAGAACGAGTCTTTGACTGGGAGAACAGGGCCTTTCTTTTCTCCATGGATCGGCTCCGGCACCCTGCGTACCTATTCCCGCAACCCCTTCCGATTTGCTGAGCGGCTTAGATGTCGTAAGAGAAGGGAAAGACATGGCGAGGTGGAGGGGGAAAGAGGTAGAAAGAGAGGGCCACTGAGATTACCTAGTTTTCGCCTTTCCTGGTAGTAATACCTGAAGACGACTCACTGTAATCCTATTTTGGAGTCGGCGCCTGGTCTCATTCCCGTCGGTTGCCCACGCGCAGACTGCATATTGTAATACGATTCGCTTGATTGCCCTCCTGAGGCTTAGCCCTCATGCCGGGCGGCCGCGTCCCACAATCTGAATCTTTGGGAGGGGGAGGAGGAGAAGGAGGAGACGGGGAGGTCGGTGTTTGTCCTTCTGGAGACTAGCAGAGTTGCATGACCACGCGGGAGGGGATAGCCTTAAAGCGATCCCTTTGCGGACCAGGGGCCTCATTGGCGTAATCACGGTCAGGATCACTAATACTGACAGGGTCGTGGGTACAGTCCGGAGTTAGGAACACAAAATCACCCGCAAGCAAAGGCCATGCGCTGAGGAGCTGCAACACAGGCTCGATTCCCCCTCGCGTCATGGAATGCCTCATCGAAGCTCTGCGCGCTGACTCAAATCTTGGTGCGCAAATGGTTTACGTGGTACTCGGTATGCTCGAGCACAATCCCCGCACTCTTTGGTTAATGCACCAGCCTATAATTCTTGTACATATTGCTGGCTACCAGACCTTAAGCGGTAGTACATGTGTAAAGGTTACTCCATCGCGGAGTCTCGACCGGCAGCAGCACGTTATCGACGTCAACCATGGCTGCCAAAGTCTACCCCCTCCTCTTCGTCATAATCATCATCATCCAGCCAGCTCCCTTTTGAAAATTTCGGGTCTGGCAAGATCTGGGGTCAAGCGCTCCTTGCCCCTCGACTTCTCGCGATCGTCGCCCTTGATTTAATACCCCGAACGCCGTAACATTCATGTTCAGTACAGCGATGATCCGCTCCCGTTTGGACCCCCCGCCCGAGCCAACGCCTCGAAGAAATGCCTGTCCATAACCCCCATGTAGAGCCCAACACCCTCACGAGATCGGTCTTCCCGCCCAGCGCGGAGGGAAAAAAAAGTAGACACTCATCCTATCGCGCACCCGCAGGTTGCTGTGACAGAATGGCCGGTCCTTGCAGTGCTGCTTGAGATGGCGTCATTTCAGCAGACCCTGTTCTGGGGCGCTTGGTAACGGGCGACTCTGAAAATGTCGGATCGGGATAGCCACTGCGATGAGGTTCATGGTGAAGGCTGTTGATACCATCCTGCGGTTGGCCCACCGCTCCCAATTCCGATAGACGAGGTAGGGTGCCTGGTTGTTGCGGCGGTCCAGCCTTGCCGGGTTGCAGCCCGTCGACATTGCTGGGCGGGGGCGGCACTTCGCCTTGCGACTCTAATAATCGAGACTGCAGGTTGATGATGTAGTCTCGGAGTTGGTAGTTTTCGGCTTGAACGGCTTTGAAGTTTTCACTCAAGACCTGATAGTCTCGCACTTGCTCTTCGAGCTTCTTGATATAGCCCTCTTTTCGTTGTCGGAAGGCTCTCTAAGTGAACAGCGTTAGGGCACACAAACGGCAACGATCCATAGCTCCGACAATGCTTACCTGGGCGGCTCTGTTCTGAGCAGCTCTCTTGCTAGTGCTCAGTTCACGCTTGCCGTAACCTTTCCGGCCATCGCCATTGTTCTCGCCTCCATCGCTCTCGGCGCTTCCGGTGACGGCATCGTTGTGCGCAGGATCTTGCGGAGGCGAGGGTTGGTGCTGTGGCATGCTGTCGATATGTTCCGGTAGGACGGATGATTGAGGCGGCGGAGGGTAGTGTTGCTCGCGCAGAACTATTGAATGCTTAGAGACCGGCCACGGGGAAAGTAGCTGAGTAATAGATGTCATGATGTGGCGGGGGTGTGGTGGTGTTGGTACAGAAGGGAATGTCTGGTTGTATCGATTGTGCAGTTGAGAAGGCACGAATAACTCAAGGAGCAATGAGAGTTTCTCAAGTCCAGGAAGGTACAAGGAGACAAGGCTGGACAGAATGAGGTGGCTTTCGAGGGTATATGTATGCCACGGGAGAGGACGGGGGGGAGGGGGTGGTTCGATACCCTTGCTTCTTTTGGGGGATAGGATAAAGGATGCTGTACTTGGAGGGTGAAGGGGATGGACGGTAAAAAAAACCGCAAACCGAACCAAAGTTACAATACGGTATTTGGGTATTTGGTATCGCGGAACGGGTCCGGCGATAGGCAGCGGGCTGAAGTAGGATGCAAGGGATGGGACAAGGGCGAATGTGTGGAAGCAGAAGGAAGAGGCGAGCAGTGGTGCAGAAGGCTGAACAGGGAATAGCGGGGAATGTCTGAGGCCCCGAGGGTGTCAGGCCCCAGAGGTAGAGCGCAGTGTGGGTCGAGGATTACGATACGTACGGTGCTCGGATTTGCCAATGTCCTATTGCTCAAACGGGTCAGAAACGCCTGCCGTAAAATTTAGTTGGGAGGGTGGAATAGGTTGATGCAAGATCCAGAGAGGCTTGAGGAGTTGGGACAGGATGGGGTGGTCAAGGGCAGGGAGATGGAGCCAGGCACCGATGCCTTTGCCTTTGGAGCAGTCGGAAGGCCAAGGGAGATTGGATTGGGTGGTACAGGGGAAAGATGGAACAAGGACATGGCACATGGAGACCATCGTTGCGGCGTTGCGGGAATAGATGCAACGAGCACCACTCAGCAAAATGTGCAGGTGCAGGTCGAGCATGCTCGAGGTCTGCCAGGTATTCCAGATTCTGGCCGGGAGACTCCCAGGGATAGACACCAGGGATAGACACCCGATGTTGGAGAGGGGAAGGCCACCGACCGAAGCGCACAAAGCAGCAGCAGTCTGAGTAAGGGCCAGGGTGGTCTTGGCTGCTTACCTGAGGCATGATTGAAGAAGAGCTAGCCGTGCGAGGAGCGAGCGCCGGTTGCATCGATGATGATGATAATGATGATGATAATGGAATCTGTTTCGTGGGGAGGCGGGAAAGAGTGGAGTTGCTGAACGATTGGAACGACCGACGAAACAGGCTACCAGTTGCTAGAGACAGAGGGATGGTACGAAGGAACCAGAGAAAATATCTGGTCGAGGCCGAATGGGATGATAGGGCGGACGTTATGTGAGTTGCAGATTGCAGTGCAGGCCTGGTACGGAGTCGGAATTGCGAGTCGAGGAGGGGGTGGGAAACGTAAAGTCAGCAACTCAGAAGTCGATCCGATGGCTGCAGGAGAAAAGAGAAATGCGGGCAACTGAAAAGGCCAAAGGTTTCAAGGTTCGCTGCGTGGTCGGTGCGTTGTGCGTGGGTAGGGTGCGTGGGTAGGGTGCGTGGTCAGGCTCTGGTTGATGAGTAATAAGGGATGAGGGAAGACGGAGGTTTTGGGGATTTTGGGGGAAAGTGGTGAAAAGAAACGAGGCTTGATTGTTTGCGCTGCGCCACCGCGAGCGACGCAGAGGGAAATGGAAAAAGGGAGGAAAATCGGACGGACGACCAGGCATCCACAAAGGGGCAGCACCCGAAGAGGACGGGTGTGTGGACTGTGTGGATTAGCAATTTCTTACCTAATTGCGACGCGACTGACGGTGTCGGTGGGTGGAACCCATCTCTTCATGGCCGCCAATCACCGGCGAGCAGGGAGAAACCCGAAAACGCTCGCGTCACCTCTGGCTTGGCAGTGCGCTAGCCTCAATATGGAGGTGGTAACTTCTGGGCCATTCGCTGCTTTTGCGCTGTTTGTTCGGCCCCAGCTATTCTTACCAGGCCAGAAGGGGACTTGTTAAAAGATCACGTTTAAATGTTTGGCCCAATCGCCAGCTCGGGGTTGCTGACTACATATTCCATTTGCGGTATGCCTCTCTGCCTCTCAAGCTCTTCTTAAGCTTCCCGTTGGCCCCGGACTATTTACCCTTTCAGGTCAACAGCCAGTTCTGCAACCCCATCAAGAATCAAGCCCCCTGCTGACTGTTCCCTGACTGTTCGGTCGGGGCGTTGTATCCACTGTACCGAGTACGAGAGTCCCAGTCCCTTACCAGGCTTTCCCAGGATTTACCATTACGGTTCTCTTCCCAGTTACCGGGTATTCGTCACACCCATGGCTTAATACCGATGGGCTCCGTATTGGACTTGTAAGGATGTATTTCTGACCACTTTGCCTCTTTCTGATCTGATCGGTATTGCCACCGCCACCCTATCATAATAATCTTATGACGATCTCTCTATTTCCATCTTTGGCACTCAGCCTTTCGCTCGCCTTGGCTGACTCGAGTCTCGTACGAGTGCAACAAACGCTTAGTCATCTATTTTGAACCTTGATTTCCGTCTCTCCTCCCAGAGCCTCGTTTCGCTTCCATCCTTCCATCCTTCCATCCTGCCTGCCTTCCTTCTGACTGATCGTCGGTGGTCGTATCAAGTCTTCGTCAGCCCGTTGCCTCCCAAACTCGAAATCCATGTGCTGTTTCTTGACTCCCTGGCTGCCATCCCAAAGACGTGCATCGGCTAAAGGCTGCCTTGGCCCCTTGAGATCGTCATAGATCGCATTCCTTCGTCATGCACAATCTGGGATTATAATAGTAATAGCCCCTATTCCGCACATGAGAATCCTAGATCCTAATTGTGCCTTGGTCATCCCTCTGCCTCAGCTGGCAGTTAGCTGACAATGAACTTTGCCTGCACTGGGCGTTTCGTAATATGTACATCATACGAGCAGGCCAACCCGGACTCCGAAGGCACATCAGGGTGTCTACGACTTCTATTCTTCCACCTACTAACCGATAAGGCTACCGTATCTCGCACAACAATCAGTCAGCATCTCGCCAACGATGGTTCCGGGGGCGTACTCCTTTGCGCAGCCGGATGCTGTGACAACTATTGATTTCTGTGCTGACTTAATTTAGTTGGAAATCTTTTTTTCGTGAAACTTGTAGCCTTCTGATGCGGCTCTCCCGGGGACTCTCTTGACTCTAGTGATGATATTGTGGATCGTCCATCTTTGACCAACAAGGGCAAAGTCTCCAGATGGTGAAACCAAAAGAGCAGCACAAACTTGTCGTTTCCTTTCACAATTCCGTCTCAGACTCGTCGATGATGCTTTGAGACAATGCGTCCATACCTGGCATCTGCAGATATCAGTTCAGTAATGATTAGGTGACCTTGAATGCAGTATCGTTTGTGTGCGCATCACCCCCATTCCTACAGATTGGATGACATTGCAATAGGGCCTCATTTCCTTGGTACAGCATCCAGGTCTTTCTTCGGTCAGCCTGCGAGGGTCTCGAAAAGGCGGCGGGCAGGATAGGATATGCGGGTTTGAATTCAGACATATGTTGGCGGATGACGCTGCATGCCACGAGCATGGCTGGCCTCAGTCTCTTCCGCCCATCCCGACACTAGCTTTGGATCTCTTCAAACTTTCCAAACAGAATTCGAAGGACCGAAACACCTCCCGACACTGGTAGCTGTGAGGGACAATCCGTTTAGCGGCCAAGTGCGGCACGAGAGACCGGTTCCTTGTGGAAGGCATTTCTTGCCCTGACGGGACAACCCAAGGTGATTACGATCAACCAGTGCTTGGGCTGCCCGTTTGGCTGCAATACGTACCTGCTCGAGCCGAGCTCCCCCCCTGGACTTCAGGCTTCACGATGCAGATTCCAGTCTCCAAAAGTCCAAAGGCCAATCGGGAATCATGACAAAACGCCACATATATCCTGAATTAGAAGGTTCTGCTCATTGATGATGTCCCGCGAACCTGCACGCCTCAATCACACCTGTCAATAACATGCCTTTTGCTTTGAAACTCGATTCTGTGATGTTGTGCCATAGCGCGCTTGGAATGCGACGTTTGTCGCCCATTGGACACCATGTCCATATTGAGGCATGGGATTATCCCAAACAGATGATGCTGGTCTCACTGTATCATCAGTCAGCCTGTTCATTCCAGAGGCCAGCAGGTTGTGTTGAGCATTGGCAAATGTTGGCGGCTAGGATTGATGTTCAATAACCATGTCGTCCGAAGGGGATATTGCACGACCCTAAGGGCTAGAATCAAAGTCATCTATTGCCTCATTTCAAGATCACTTCTGATTCCACATCGTCAAGGAAGGCCAGGTACGCCTATAAGGGACGACTTCGGAGATGCGCATGCACTCCTTCCATATTCCAAACAAGCGGCACCGTTATTCGATCGCCGCTGACCGCATAACTGTCTGTCTGACCACCTCTCTATACAGTATATTCCAAAGTCTGGGTATACAACTTCGATCAGGCCCCGTCAGAAAGCCACAATATCAGGTTACGAACCGTCCCGAACCCAAGAAACCCAGTCAGGCCACATGCTTGACTGCCTTCCAGATCCGTCCGTGGAACTTTCGTTCGCCCACGCACGTCTTACACGAGGAGGTGAGCGCCAGCTTTGTAGCAGCCTGAGCACAAGCGAACCACCTGCCAACCACAGAAAAAAACAATCCTCGGGGACAACTATATGGCGATTACATTGCTATGCGCCCGAGAGTTTCTCCGCATCACGACAAAAGTCGACGAACCAACACACTTTCCGCGGCGGGATTCCGAGACTTCATCACGACCGTTGGGCGCATCCGGCTCCCTCTCCCGCGGCACTGACAAGAGCAAAGACAGCAAGTCGATTGTCAAAAGGGCCTAAGGGCCACAACGCGCACTGCGGGAAGTGCTTGGTTCTGTCAGATGGCGCTGCACCTTAAATCTAACCTCAGCTGCTCTTAATTGGGCGTCGCATGCCGCCTTGCTTTGTGTTTTTCATTCGCTGCGCCGACGAAGGCAGAATGTTTCTGACGCACTAGTGGTCACACGAGATGGCATTATTGTGATGCTGCCGCACGCATGACAGCTATATCCTTTT